CAGTCTGAGCAATAATAAAAGCAATTGAGTAGGTTACCTGTGCAGACACAAGATTTATACCTCTTCATATTTGATGTGATTGTTTTATTGAGTTCTCTCTCCAAATAATTGGGACAGTATTTATTTATTCATTCATTCATTTGTTGTTTTCCCTCTCTTTCCTTCTTGGCATCACCCTCTAAAACCCACCTGAAGTTTTTGTTAGGAAAAACCCCTTCAGTCTACCTCTTCTCCTTCTCAAAAGCTGCCTACTGAGATAGGAACTCAGTACAAGACCCTGTGATAGTCTGAACTCCCACAAACCAGACAACAGGGAGACAGTCAGACCAATACAACCAATGGCCTAGAAGCCCGCGCTAAACAACTAAGGATACAAAAATGGACTTTTCAAGAAGACAACTCTAAAATCAGACCAATGGCCATGCATGTTCTTCGTGTCACTCGAAGGATGGATGATTTTTACCAGTGAGGACCTTCTCTTTGGAAGAATGGATGAGCAAGGAGCTTCTGAGACAGAAACTGATCAGAATAAACTGCTATTTGTGACCACAATCCGCTAGTGAGGCCCAGGACCCCAATGGCAAGGTTGCTGTCTTTATTTCTCCAGCTCCTCTGTGGGAGGTCTTATTCATATTTCATCATCTTGCCTTGGGTCTTTTTCCTGAGACCAACAATGTTGATAATCAAACAGCTGCAATGATATGGAGATATGACAGGTAATGTCACTCCTTTGTCCCAGCTTTGTGCCTAGCCAGGTCCAAGAGACAAATACACAGTGTTTGATAACCTGAGTTTCAGAGAGAAAGGATAAACCCTCATCCAGAACATGTCTACAGAACCCTTAAGACTGCTGCAATGAATGACTCCCAGCTTACTTGGAAAAGTAACTGGTAGGCCACTGACTCCCCTTCCATCTCTCTGGTAAAAATCTGAGAATTAGCCAGGCGCTGGTGGCTCACACCTGTAACCCTAGCTACTCAGGAGGCTGAGATCTGAGGATCATGGTTCAAAGCCAGCCTGGGCAGGAAAGTCCCTGAGATTCTTGGAACAGTGAATTTTTTGTTTTGGTTTTGGTTTGTCAGTTGTGGGGCCTGAACTCTGGGCCTGGGCGCTGTCCCTCAGCTCTTCAGCTCAAGGCTAGCGCTCTACCACTTGAGCCACAGCCCCACTTCCGGCTTTTTTCTTTTTGCTTATGTGGTGCTGAGGAATCGAACCCAGGGCCTCAGGCTTGCAAGGCAAGCGCTCTACCACTGAGCCACCTTCCCAGCCCCTCCCTGAGATTCTTATCTCCAATAAATCACAGCCAAAGCCAGAAATAGTGCTATGACTCAAATGGTAGAGTACTAGCCTTAACAAAAAGGAGCCCAGGAGCAGTGCCTAGGCCCAGAGTTCAAGGCCCAATTTTGGTTAAAACAACAACAACAAACACACAAAAAAACCCTGAGAATAATGTGGGAGGTGGGGCAGGGAGGACACCTAAATGACACAGACTAGGATAGCAGCCTTCCTTATGAAAACCAGTGTTGTCACTGCTAGGAGAATGAGTGTATTCACTTTGAGCAAATGAGCTAATGGATAACACAAGAGATTATTAGGTGATCAGTGAGCAGCAGACTTTGTAAAGGTCTACACAAAGATCTAGGAGCGGGAAGTCACTGGCAGTGAAGAGTGTAGAGAAGGCTCGAAGTAGGTAGAAAGTGATGACCTTATTGTCAGTTTATTCCAAGACTATACCCTCAGAGGATCATCAGTAATCCCTGACTCCATCTGGAGTTGATACTGTTCTTTTGAAGGAACTATTGTTCTATCCAGAGCAGTGACCAAACTTGAAGACTGGTATATAATGAGAGAAATCCTTCCTGCCTAGTCAATTGCTCAGCCATGTAACTAGGTGACTTTTCCCCTTTCAGTGCATGGATCTCCCTCCATCTCTTCCCCATTCCGGGCCATTTCCCACACCAGGTTTCAATCTGAAATCACCTATTTATAAACACTTGCCCACCACAGCAGTGCTATACAAAGATGAAGAGCTGTCAACTCCATGCTCAGTGATCAGTAATCAGATATTTAGAATGATTTGGGTAAATTCCATAGGCTAAGTAACCCAGTCAACTCTTGGGATTTTGGAAAGTGGTCTCTGGAAGTGGGGAGGCCTTCTTGACCCAATCTTTTGGCTCAGAGGCATTTATTTCTATGAGGATTTGCTAGTAAGGAATGGAGATTGAACCTCCAAGCCTTTATCACGATAGGATCAGAAAATGCCAAAACCATTTCTAAAGTATGAAAAGCAATTTAGTTTGCAGCCATAATAGCATATTTTAAGTGCGGCAACAGCATCTGTTTTGGGAAGGAAAAGATGAAAACCTTTGGCTCAGGTAAGTGAGCATGTGTGGACTTACGTTTTTGCCAACTCCAGCTCCTGTACACTTTTACTCATAACTATTACAAAGGACCCAACCTAAGTGTACAACTCACCAAAATGAAAGCCCCAAACTCAGAAACTCCCTGTTTTCAAGTGATCCTATGTCTGCACAGAGAAAATTCTCCAGGTTCTTCCTATACTGAGAAAGAACAATCATTGCTGGCATAACCAGCACTTGTAGAAACGCCCTGCTTTTATCCGGCATTAAGAGGAAAAACACCTCCAATAAACCTTCCCCTTTAGAACAAAACATCTACGGGAATGATGCTACAAAGGGAGTGTCTAGGTGCATCTTGGGAGCTTGGAAGCACCAGAAGTCTTTCCAAAATATGAAGCATAGAGGGTCCTGTCCAAAGCTTAACTGTGGGGGCCAGAGCTGGCTGCCTGTGCTGCCACTGTTTTCCAGGATCCGCTTCACCATTCCCTGTCTTTCTCTAGCAACACCTACCCACGGATGACAATTTCTCTGCACCCAAAGGAAGTCTCTATACCCCTCAAGTGCTAGGACTCTGTGCTGGGAAGATTCTGCGGCTGCCAAGCAGAAACAATTCTTTCCATCATGCATATCTCACTGGTGGCTCACTTGTCTACTTTCTCCAAATTCTGGTGGGTCACCTCAACACCTCTGGAGCGCGGTCTTGGGGTCGCGAGTCCCCTGCTCTTCATGATTTTCAGGATGAAACATCCCCAAACTTGTGTCTAAGACAGCTTCCAACAATGTTTCCAGTGATAGGGTATGTTTGAGAGGGAGAAGGTACAAGGGAAGTGCTAGCAAGGCTGCCGCCACACCTACCTTATTGCGCCACTCCTTCACCTCATTCAAGACAAACAAATCACCACAACTATGTTTCTCTTAGATTCCCCCAAAAGCTTGCAGATACCATCACCATCAACAAGCATTTCTCAAAAATGTTCTCCACAGCACTATTGCTCCCAATCCAGCACCATAGCTCCTTAGTGGGGCCACTTGGCCTAAGACCAAGTAGCTGCTTTCCTCTTAAGACCTCAGGTCTATCTTCCGGTCAGGAGACAAAGTTTCTGAATGGCTCAGAAAACAATACTTTATCCCTTCTGCTCATTAATTGCCTCATCCACTGAGCTTCCCCAGCCTCCTTCTGACTTTGAAATGCAAAACACTTATTCCTTTTTCAAACCACCTAGTCTTCTGAATGTCAAACCACCATGTTTTCAATACCTGGCTGAGCCAAGCCCAGGGAGCTTGAGGGTTTCAGAGGGTGTATAATTAGCTGATCAGTATTATGTTACCCTGTTCATAACTGAATAACCATTTTAATACAGATGGCACACACTGGGATAATTTCTGAGGTCGCCTCGCAGTACGTAACAGCATGAGTGTGGCACAGGGAATCTTCTTTAGCCAAGGTACATTCTACCAGCTAATTTTACCTGCTGTTTTCAGGATGATTTGGGATAATTCCATATCATTTGCAAAATATTAAAAAAATGTGACAGGTGATGCCAGTTTCAGAAAAAGGCATCATCTGAATTATTAGTTGTCCTGATAATGAGACTGTGAGGAGTGCAAAGAATAACAGAGTATGCAACTCTTATCCTTTTTCTCTTTTACGGGTGCTTTAGAATGGGGGGAGGAATCAATTTGCTTCTGACTGGTGTCTGACTTGTGCAGATTCTTCAGATACGTGGTTGTATAGTTCTGCAATTGTAAAGGCACCTGGGTACCTGGATCCAAATACTGCTTGTGTGTTTCATAATAACCACAGATAGGCACTTTGGCACACTGGCTGGGAAAAGTGTGTGCATGTGCACACACACATGGAACACGCCCATGTGTTCTCCCAGGTAGCACATTAGAGTGGCGTGGGATTAAGAGACATAACTATCCTGTAAGTTGAGTTGACTCAAGTAAGCCTGTGTTATCTTCACCTGCCTGAGCCGGTTGTCAGCGCAAACTTCAGCCTTGAGATAGACATTCTAGGTGGTAGGAGCATCTTCCAAGGGTCAATCTCAGGGTCCCAGTTTTTCCTCCTTGCCTGGTATCCCACTTCTTGCTAGCTCTTCTTCTACTCCCTGCCAATTGCTGGCTGGTGGTTGGCATTTGCTCCTCAGGCCTGGATGCCAGTACTTCTAGGCCAGAAGTTTGTGTGGAGCTGGCTAGCAAGACTGGGCTCCTGGGAGGTAAGCTTTGTGGGAGTTGGCTGAGAGGGTGAGGGAGCCAGGGCCAGCGGCTATCCCTGGGGAAGGGCACATGCCTTTAGAAAAGGAAGTCTGTTTGGAGGCAATGAATAGACACTGGTCATTTTAAAGGCTTTGCTATGAGCTGTGATTGTCTCTAGATCCCGAGGCGCGTAATCTTGGAGTCTTAATTACCACAAACACTTGGATTCATTTCCAGGATGCTGGCGGGAAAAGCCTGGCAGGGAATGCCCAGCTCGGAACTGGAGACAGTCCTGTCTGTCTGTCTATCTATCTGCTTTCCAGGTCCTCTCTCCCTGCCCAAAGGACTTCAGGCTGGGGGCTAGAAGGAAGGGGTGGAGACTGTACCAAGAGCAAAAAGCACCAGGGTCCTAGGAGCTGGGAGCCCTGGGAGCTTGCTCACCTGTTGATGGAAGAGACGCTGGGCACAGTGTCGTTGTCACAGATGCCTTCAGCCAGGAGCCGGTCACGGATCTCCCAGGCGAACATAGTTGGGTTCTGTCGTTTGTATTCAGCAATCTTGTCCACCACTTTGGGCGTTGCCACCTTGGGCTTGGAGCCACCAATCACACCAGGCTTGATGCTGCCAGTCTCGTAGTACCTGCGCCCGGGGAAGGCCGGCGGGATCAGCAAGAAGTGGGCAGAGGCAGGGGGGCTGCAGGCTTCAAAGCTGCTAAGCCACTCTCCTGCCCCAAAGGCCCAGTGTGGCTGAGCTGACTTTCCAGAGGGTGCTTGGCTAGGGTGAGGGATGATGGAGACGATGAGGGGAAGAACTAGGGGGCACCTCCCTCTTGAAATACAGCCATTCCAGGAGCTGGGTGCACATGGGTTAGAAGCGGCTTCCACTTGGGAAGGAGGGAGGAAGGGCCCTTGGAGGTCTCTCACTGACCAGAGCTGAGACACTACCTCCAGCCCTTGCCTAGCGAGGACGGAGCCTCTTAGGCAACTAGGACCCACTTTTGACCTCCCCAGTGCTACCTTTCCACCTCCTTGGAAACCTGTTCTGTTCCAACCAGCTTCCTCCAACCCCTTCCCACATTAACAGGCTGGGAGAAACAGCTCTCCATGTAGGAAGCGTCCTATAGGGCTGCCTTCCCGCATGAGCCCTAGAAAAGGCGTTAAGTAATCCCTAGTCCACCCTCCCTCCTGAGGCTGGCCACCGTTTGAATGCCCTTTCCCAATGGAGCCTTTATTTCTCCATCTCTTCCACTTGGAAGTTTCCCTCTCCCGCTTGGTTCCGGGTAACTTAAATCCTAGTCCTTGGCAGGGAAGGAGTCAGGGCGTCTCCAGGGATGGCTCACGGCCCTCACCTGCCCAGGATTTTGCTGACACAGCCGTGGCTGACCCGCAGCTGCCGCGAGATGTCACAGGGCCGCACGCCCTGGTGGGCCAACTCCACGATGCGCTGCCTCACCACGTCGGGGAGGGGCCGGCCGTTCACAAACACCCCCCCGAGCTGGTTCACACCCCCGTGCCCTGCTGGGGAGAGACAAGAAAAAAACACAACACCCCACACACAGTAGGGGACCGGTCATTAGTCAGGGTCCGGGACGTGCGAAAGGAGCTGGCAGGGCTGAGGGGGGAAATGTTCCCGAACTCTCAAAGAAAGGTAGGGGGGTGGAGATTGGAACCCACCCGCGGACGGTGGAGACACGGAAGCGCAGGCGCTGGGGGAGGGAGGGGAAAGAACAGGACACCAGGGACAAAGTGAAGGCAGGAGAGAGAAGCCAGGAGAGAGGAAGAAGAGAAAGAGGGAGAGCGGGTCCGGGGGGAATTAATGTCAGTGGGAATGAATGCAGGGAACGGGAGAGAAAAGGCCTGGCTGCGCTGCACGGAACCAGTGCGCAGCGAGATGCCGACTGCACCGGCCGCTAGCGAGAGGCATATTCGGTGTGTGCGAGGGCTGAGAGGTGGTTTTGATTTGGGGGTTTCAGGGTCCGCTTGAGTCTACTCAGCATAGCCGCAAGCCCTGAGAGAGGCTGTGAGACACACACACACACACACACACACACACACACACACACACACACACACCAGTGCTTCCTGCCTCTTCCCTGCATTTTTTTTGAATTGGAATTCTACATCTTTCCCTGTTTGATTCTTTGTGTTTTCTGTCATAGAACTGAGAAGCATATAGTTTCCCCCTCCCCTCTCTAAAATCAAAAGTGGAAAGAAAATCAGGTTTGAAGGGGAAGACAGAAGAGGTAGTGGCTGGGGGATTTGCCGAGCTTAGAGACTGGGACCGGCCGAGCCAGCGGTGCGGCTGGCGGTAGCAGCAGCAAGAAAAGAAAAAAGAAAAAGAAAAAAGAAAAGCAGGCTGCGGGGGTTCGGTGGCCAGCCGCGGTGTGCCAGGCTTTGGATCCACCGTCTAGTGCTGGCTGCACCACACAGAACTCATGGGGCACCCCCTGCACCGGCCCAAGCCAGTCAGATCGTTCTCATCTCCCAGACCTCGGTGGCCAGCCGGGAAACCGAACAGCGAAGACGAGTTCTCCGGACTGAGAGCAAGCCCTGGATTTCCAACCCAACCCAAGGCGCCCGCACGCACACAGCCTTGGGGGGCAAGGAGGCCACTAGGCGCCAGGTCCCAGGGCACGACCCTGTGCCCCGTTCTCCCTGGCCACAGAGCAGCCTGGAAATCCTGCACCCAGAATGATCAACCCACGAGCTCAGTTACTGATCAATCCAGACGATCAGACTTCTAGCCAACGAGTCGGGTCCTACCAGGCCAGCAACCTGCAGGCTCTGCCCTGCTAGCCTCCAGTCAATTTCGGGGAAAGCGGGAACATCCTATGCCCCTTCACTTGTCTCCGCCTCTTCTAGGGCGACCAAGAGCAAGCCTGGGCAAAACCCCTGGGCAGGGACCTCTGGATCAGGCGGCTTGCAGTGGTTGAAACCTCTTACTTTGCCCCCTACCCCATTTCCATTCCCACTCTTCACCCCTCCACTCCTTCCAAACCTCGACCATCAATAATTTAGGCCCCGGGAGAACTCGCGTTACCAGTATGAAAAGGCGGCAGCTGCGGGCAGATTAAAGATGAATAATTCAGCCTCCCCAGGCTCTCCGCACGGCCCCTCTGCCCCAATCTAAGGGGTGGGGATTGGAAGAAGCATGGTAAGAGTCCAGGGCCAGTGATCCTCCCGGAGGACCCGCGTTGAGTCGCGCTTAGGATGCGCCACAGCCACCAGCGCCGATCTGGGCCGCGGCGGCTCGCAGGCCAGACCTCGGGCCCGTGGGCCCGCGCTCTGCCGCGCTCTCGCCTTCTTCTGACCACCTTCTACTGTCCTTGTTCCCTTTTAGGTTTCAAAGTGACTCCCAGTGGGCGGCCACTCGAAGGACCACCGGAGCAATCCGCAGGAGAGGAGAGCCAGAGCAGTGGTAGCCGGCCTGGAGGCTGCGGTCTGGACCAGCACCGTGTGCAGACCCAGCTCTACTCTCTCCGAAAAGGACCCTGGCTTTCCAACCGGGTGGCTGGCGGAGATCTGCGGCGGCTTGAAGCCCGGGTGGGGTTTCTTGTGCTGATGTGCTGAGAAATATTTAGGGAAATGTATTTATCCCAGGATTTAAAAAATATATATATTCCCCTGTAAAGCTAAATTCATCCCTTACAGACAAACATAGCACTCTCTGCTTGACTGTTTTGTCTCAAGCACACATAGGAACCAGGTCTAAAAAAGTTTCCTTGTGAAAAGTTACAAATTATTCTTAATTATTAATCTACAGATAGGGAGGAGTTTTCTATTTAGAATCCTATTTTTTGAATAGCCTGCTTTTAAAATTTTTTCACATATAGTTTTCCAAGCTAAGACATGACAAGAATTAAATTCTAATTGTATGAAATATTTCCCCCTTTCCTCTATTTTTCTATTCTCTCCTTTTTTTCTATAAAATCCTTTGCATTTTCTTTGATTTCCTTCCTCTTGTTTTGATTTATTTTTCCTTTTCCCTCAGCATTGGCATTTGCCTTCCTTTTGTTCTTTCCCCCTTGGTTATTCTCTTTGCTGACCCCCCCTGGCAAGGGACCTGGCTGCTTGATCCTCAGCAAGGAGTAGATGGCCAGCAAGGAGTCTCCAAAACTGAGACCGGAGCCCAACTCTGCCTAGGGACAAGCTTGGAAGGCTTGGATAGTTGCTCTCTCCCGGACTTCGATTTCTTCTTGGAATTCCTCTTTGTTTTTAGAGCATCTCCCTGGGCAGAGGCAGGGAAAAGTGACCAACCATCCCCTTCTGCCAACCTCAGATTCACAACTCAAAAGAGAAGGAAAGGAGGAGAGGAAAGGGCGATGGAAAAGAAAGAGGAAGGAAGTAGTTCAAATCAACTCCCAAGAAGCCTTGACTAGGCTGGAAAGGCCAAGAGACACTGAGAGCTGAGGGTCAGAAGGGGGCACCCCACCCCCATGCTCTTCTAGCCCAATTGTCCTGACACAGGGGTTGCCCGGACTAGAAGTCTCATGGTGAACCCTCACAACTCTTAAGTTTTAATAAGGTAGGGATGGGGAGGAAATATAGGGAAGGGAGGAGGCAGAGATAGGGAGAAAATACACTCACACAACACCCTGAAAACTGCCTGCCAATTAGTTTTCCAACCCAAGATTAAGAGCTGACTAGAGAGCGAGTGACTGGAGCTAGGGCCCAGCGCTGTGGATCCCTCGACCTAAGGAAAAACAGGTGAAAAAAGCAAAGCAGGTGGTGAGAAGGTAGGAAGGCAGGCAGAGGGACATGCGTAGATACAGAGGGCAAAAGAGAGAGCGAGAGAGACTGCTTGAAAGCACACGCAACACCATATGAGAGAAAGGGGAAGAACGAAAGGGGGGGACCTGGAGAAAGCGCAGGGGACCGGGCCGCGCGGGAGGCTAGACAGGGTTGGAACCGCGCGACAAGGGGACAGGAGCCGGGCGCCGGTACTCACGGTGCATCGCGGAGAAGGGGTCGGCTTTGCAGTGCATATCCATGGGGAGGCAGAGAAGCGGGAGCAGCGCGGCCGCCGCCGCCGTGTCGCCTCGCAAACTCAACTTCAGGACTTGAGGAGAAAAGGGAAGGACGGTGGGGGAGGAAGGGTAAGCGGGCGCCCGGCTACTGCGGGGCGCGCGGGGACCGGGGACGCGGTGCTGCGCTCCCCGCCGGGTCTCCCCCCCCTCCCCCGGCCCGCCGGGGCTTGCAACCGCAGTGGCCGCAACTTCCCAGCGTCGGGACGCGGGGCTGGGCGGTCAATAGAGCGGTCCCGGGGTGACGGGCAGGGCTAAGGGGAACTGGGGGCTCATGGCTCGCGCAGCAGCTTGGGACCAGGGCTGAGGCCGAGCGGGGAAGGCCGCTAGCTCCGCTCCCTCTGGAACCTGGTCATCTGAGAGGCGTTGATTGGAAGAAGGCGCTGGGCGAGGGTGGCCCGAGGGCGCCGGGAGGGGAGCTGGGCCGCTCCAAGTGACGACGAGTTGGCGAAGTTGGCAGAGAAGTAGCAATCCCCGGGATGTCCGAGCGGGCGCCTGCGGGAGGGGAGCGCGCGAGCCGGCCCCCGCCCCCAGAAGAGGCAGACGCGCGCCGCGGCGGCCGTGGGGCCGGGAGGGAGGGAGCCAAGCGGCGCTGGCGGCGCTAGGCTGGCCCCAGGTGGGTTGCGGCGGCGAGAAGACTCGGCCGGAGACTGGAGCCTCGGCTCCCGGTGTGTGTCTCTCTAAAAGCTGCAAAGCCCCCTCCAGACCCCCTCCCCCTCCCCGCGCCGGGAGATGGATGACTTGTCAGACAAAGGCAATAGATTCCACCACTCTGTGATTCGCCAGCGCCGGAGCCCCGAGCTTCGGCGAGGAGGGCCCCGCGCCTGTCACTCCGGTGCCGGCGAAGGGAGGGCAGGGGTGGGGGAAACGGGAGGGAGGGAGGGAGCTAGGGGCGAAGGAAGAGGGAGGGAGAGGAGCGGGCCGGGGGGGGGGGGGGGGGGGAGAGGAGGAATGAGAGCCCGAGATTAAAACTACTCGGAGAAACGAAACTCGCCGATAAGATAAACGTTAGATAAGGATAAAGCGGGGCCAGTCTAATGAATATTCAGGCTACGAGCGAAGGCCGCCGAGCGCGCCTCGCACTGGAGCCGGGCTTCTCAGTCCCAACTCGCCCAAGCCCTGCCATCCACCGGCCAGTGCCCGCCCGCAGGAGCCGCTCCGCCCCGGGCCCGGTCGGCACCTCAAGTCCCAACCCGACTACCCTTGGCTCTTGAGTTCCCTTCCGTTCCTTCCAGGTTCTTCTTCCCTCCCTCTCGGTCTCTGATCCTTTCCTTTTCGCCTTTCCCTCCCATGATACCCTCCAATCCTCGCACCCTCAATTCCCGTTCCAGGACAAAGTGCCCAGCAGTTTGTCCTCTGCTGTTCCACACGTGGTTAGGACCCCTCATTCTCTGCCTTTCCCTGGGTCAAAGCAAAACCCCGCTAGAGGCCTCTGGCAAGGACCCACCTGCTTTGGTGGGACCCACCCGATGGGCGGAGGAGAACTGGGGGAGACTGCACTCCTTCCTGGACCCTCGGGTAACTGGGGAGAAGGATTGGGAATCTCAAGACCGTGCGGAACTGCTGGTCGCTGGCTGCAAAGGATGCGGGAGACCAAGGCGTGTTCAAGGTTCCTTCTCCCCGGCTGGGAAGAAGAGGAGGCTGCGACCCCGCTGAGCGCCGCCTGCTTCTCGCTCTGCGGATCCCGAGCGAGCGCCGCAAGCGCAGCACGCCGGCCTTGGCCCCACTCCTACCCGAGCCGCGGGCCCGGCCTCCGCAGCTCTCGCCGGCACTCGCTCCCTGGCTCGCTGGGGTCCGCTCGCGCACACTAGGCAGGAGAAGCCCTTTGTCTTCTAACTGGTTAAGTACAGAATATCCGGGAGATCTTTATGAAATATTTTCCCTCGTCTCATAAATCATCTTGGCACTTCAGCTGATGTTTTAACTCTCTCTCCCTCCTTTGCTCCCTCCTCCCGCTTCCCTGGGTCTACGAGAGGGCGGCTCGGGGAAGCGCGAGCTGCGCTGCGCTCGGGCTGCTGGGTTTGGGGCGCCGTCTGCTCCTGTCTGCAGCTCCTGGCACCTGGAAGAAGGGCCTAGGACTCGTGCCGCTGTCCCTTTGGCCAAAGCCTGGACACTAGATAGGCTACAGGACCGCACCCGCTTGTCACAGCCTGACTCCTACTGGGTATCTCGGACCCTGGTTTTTCTTGGTTCCCTTTACTCCTTGGGTGGGTTTTACATCAGGCTCAGCCTCAAAGGGCTTTGAGCTTCCCACGGAGGGCTGGGTCCTGGCATTTGCCCTCCCTTCTGATTGTACTGAGCCGGATCTGCTTTTTTCCATCTACAGAGTGACTTCGAGAGACGAAAATAATTCCCTTTCTCCCCCCCACCGCCCCCCCCAACCCCGTCATCCCATCCCAGCCTCTGTCCGCACTTCCTTTGGGCAGCGAAGCAAGATTCCCTGAATTGAAGGTGCTGGGTCCAACCCCGAAGGCCAATCTCTTCCTCTCAAGGCCTGCAGATGGCGCTCCGGGGTTTGCTTTGGCCTCACAACCCCACGAACTCGCACTAAGTTCGAGTGGAGAGAGAGAGAGGGGGGGAAGAAAAAAAAGGAAAACAAGAGTTCCTGTTGCCTAAAGGGTACAGTCCCCAGCCTGGGAGGCAAGAGACACTGGAGTGATAGCTGGTACAGACTTGGGCTTCCTTGGGGAAGGTAATTAACCCAGAATTGGAGGTAGGAGCATTGAAGAAGGGTCCTATAGAGAGGAGCCCAGAGAGGAGTCTTTGCCCCCAGGTTTTCATATGTTGGCCATCCAGTAAATTAAGTCTTAGGAAGTCTGAACTCTGAGAGGGACCAGCCTGTGGGTGGAATCTCTCTTGCAGAATCTAAATAGATTTAGATGTTTCTGGAACAGTGTTGTACATACTGTGAGCAGAGACAACAGACATTTCATGTATTGGGAAGGTGCTTCCACATTTTGTAAAGAAGCAGACTATCAATTAACAGTGTACTGGAAGTTGCATTTCTATACCTCTCCTTCCCATACAACCTCTCAGGAGTGGTGAACCATAATAGTCAAGAGAATTCTGGCATACTCCCTGCTCTTGGTACACCCTTCCCAGCACTACACTATCTGGACACTCACACCAGACACAAACCTTCTGCAAGGCCAGCCCCTGGCAGCTTCTTCCTTAAGTCCCTGGGCCTAGAAAGTCAAAGAGGAAAAAAATATATATCAACGAGCAACACTCCCTGATCATTTCGAAGACCTGTTAGCCAACACTATGCCTTCTCTTCTAGGCTTTAGGATGAAGGGCTGACTTACACATTTCTCTCATTACTGATCTCTCCTTCTATCTCCTTTCCTGCTCTTCTTTTTATTCTTTCTATAGTGTCTGTTATTGGGGAAAAGAGCAAGACAAGAAGAAAGAAGAGGGAAGGGGAAAAGAAAAAGAAAGAAAGAAAACAACCCAACCCCAAACACAACCAGGGCTCCAACCTGTCAGGGTTGGTTGCTTTTCCGTCTGCCTCTAAATGAACCTTTTCTCTCTGGTGTTTTCAAAGCGGCCCTTCCACCCCACCCCACCCCCAACCTAGGGGCATTTACACTTCAAACAAGGCACCCGCCTCCCTGCGGAAATTTAAAGGCAAATAAACTTTTGGGGAGTTGCTCTGATACCCATCTCGGGATTTGCTTCATTAGCCGCCTCTGTGCATCTGATCTGCCCAATAAATCTTCCTTGTGGATCTCGGCTCCTTCGCCTTCTTCGCTCCCTTCCCTGCCAAGCTCGCCTGGCGCCTGGCGTCCCCCACTACAACCGCCTCCCTTACGGGCTTGAGTCTCGGGCTGGACCACGCCTGCTCCGCCTGAGTGAAGGTCTCTGGGAAGCAATGGTCCCCAATATGTATCCTCGATCCAATATACCTATACATAGGTGCCCCAAGCCACGAGTGATTTTTTTTGCGGGATCTGTGTGCCTGCCTTGCATGGATCCTGTTCGGTACCTCCCCCCGCCCCCCCCCATGCTTCTTTAGACACTGGTGCTTGGTTTCCGGTTTCCAGGTCCCTGGTCTAGAGCTTTCTGCCCAGGCGAGAAGAGGCAAAGGCGAGGCTACTTCCCCTCTATCTGCTGGGCGCTGAGCCGGGGCCTAGGCACCCAGCCCAGAGCAGTGCGGGAAGGGGGAGGGGATGAGGGGACAGGGGGGGATGTCTGGTAGAGGTTTGGGGTTGCAGCGGAGCATCCCAGCTGTGCCCCTCCCCCGCGGCCTGGGCCTGCCTTCCTCCTTCCATCTCCCCGAGAGCAGCTCGGGGAGCTAGGGACAGGACTGTGAGCGAGGGGATTAGAAATTCCGAAATTAAGTGTATCTCCCCAGGAAATGCTCCCTACAGCGCGGACCAAATTAAACGCATTAAAGTTGGGGGTGGGTGGGAGGGAGGGAGAGAATCCGTTTAGAATCCAGGGAGAAAAAACTAGTCCGAAGGGAAGAAAAGAAGAAGAGACAGAAGAGAGAAGAGAAGTGAGCAGCTGCTCCGCAGCCAAGCTCCTTGTCTGGAGGATTCCCAGTTTTAGAAGTCACCACCACCGCAATCAAAAAGAAAGAAAAGTTCTGAAGATCAAACTCAGGGCGGACTCCTGAGATCCATTTGCCCTCGGGGTCCAGTGCGCCCCGGACTGCATACCCTTGATGGCGGGATCCTGGGCAGCCTGTGTACCAACTCCGGCCCCTCTCTAGAACCGCCTGACCGGCTCCCGCCGGGCCTCACCCCTCCTCTTCCCCATTCTCTCCCTGCCCCTCCCCCTGCCTAGCCCTCTGGTCACGTTGGAGGATGGTTTTTTTTTTCTTTTTGGAAGAGCTTCTGGTACAATATGGAGCACCATGGGCTGCAATTTCACACTCCACAGCACATTCCCCCTAAAGCTACTTTCTTTTTTTTTTCATCTAAGACCCCCTAATTTCTGCTTCCTCGCTCTCTCCCTTACTCCCTCCCTCCTGGTCTCACTCATCTCGCTTTTGTTCCTAATATTTGGGCACCCCCTGGGGGGGCTGACTCTC